TCACATATGGATTCAATTATGTCTGTAGGTATTTTAAGGCCACAAAACATATTTTTTGTTCTATGTCTGCAGCACATACAGAGTGGAATGCTGGTGGGTGACCATGTCTCCTAGGTGTGGAGATGACTGCAAGCCTACAACCTCACTCTACATGCATTGTATGCTAAACAAGAAAGCTTTTCAAGCATACCAGGATATCATACTTTTCAGAGCAGAATCCCAGATTTCAAGCTTTTCTCTCTAACTCATTTATTCTTTTGATGTCCAGTATCTTATTTCTGAAGATTTGCAAATTATTTCTAGAGCAAGCAATATTTTGAAAATAAAAAAATGAAAATATTTCATTCTCAAAAAAACCCCAGCCCTAAAATAAGCATTTTTCCATACTTAACTTTCTCTCATTCAGCTGATGGAAATCTATACATTACAATGTTGATGTTCTGTCAACATAAATCTAAAATACTGTTTTTTTCAGTAAGTACAATATTATCAAAATCTTTCTTGTCAGCCTGTGTGGCGGAGCATCCATCACTCAGACATTAATTCTAAAACACAAATAAGATTAAAAATCCTTAATTAAACAGAATTTTGCCAAAGTGAAGCACAATCTCAAGCTTGATTCTCTAGTAGATTTTATGAGAAATGTAACTCAATTCAGACTAACCTCAGTCTTTTTTCCGGTACTGTCTCATGTGGCTTGATATGAAGTTCAGTGCTACTTAAATGAGCCACAGGGAACTGGATTCTTCAAGTATCAATTATTTTGTATGACAAAATATGTAGTCTTCTTGCCCTGTATAGCAAAGAAGCTCAAACACCTGGGCAAGAATTCCATGCATGGCCCATCCAACACACAGTACATATTATCTTGCTTATGCCCCAAGTCATGAATAACTTCTGAGACACTGCTCCTCTTTCCCATCAAGTCAGGAAGATAGCAGTGTACCAGAAGCTCAACAATATCCCACAATGTAAAGATATCCCTCATCTCTGAGAGAGAGAATGTACCACAAAATTTGTTTCTGAAACCAGACATCTCTGCAACGCACATATCTTTTGTCACATCGGATAACAAATTTTATAGCCTCACACCTCCACTGGACAGCTTCAAACCCCCCGAGAATGGCAGGTGGCAAGCAGCAGACTGCAGTGGAAGTCAGTGTTTGCTTCTAGCCTTGTTACAAGCTCAATCAGAAAAGTTACTGTTGTGTTGGCGAGATAAATTCTTCCTTAACATTTCATTCCTTAATTTTCACACGTTTTTCACAGGCACCATTGGAATTTTAAAGGGCAAGAAGCACAGCAAAACATCACTATCTCTGTATTAAAAAGAAGCTGAGGCATGCTGGTAGGTTGATACGTAGGTGCATACATTCATATTTTCTCCTTTAAAACGCATGAATAGAGTGGCTTGGCAATACTCTTCTTGAATGTTACCAACAGAAAGGAAACATCTCAAGTGACTGCCATAGAAAAAGCACTTTAAACATTAGAGATTTTGTCATCAATGGTTGAGTGTTATGTACACCCTTAGGTTTTTCTCTGTAAATCAGTGCCAGATTCATAGCCCTGTATACCAAGGTCCTTTCTCTCTTTAGCAGTACAGTTCAAAATAACAAGTAAGGCAGTTCAGATGTGCCCTGTCTCTGTCGGACAGCTCGCCTTACTTCTGACCTGGAGGACACATCTAGAAGTGAGAGATATTGGCTTTCTAGGTATATTAGGGCCAGCTTTCAGCTGTCACAGAGCAGTTACATCTCCCTGAAGTCATTATAAACTATTTCAATTTACTAAAGAAGAGGATCTGGTCCCTGTGAGTCTTTGACTTCTCTGCAAAGGCTTTTAATAAGATACCAACTGTCCTGGCAGTGAGGATATATTGAGTAGCACTCGAAGTTAGCAGTAGCAGACAGGAGCTCAGCCCAACAATATTTTTCTCTGCAAGAATTAAGTACAGCACTTCTTTTAAGCTTACACAATTCTTACTGTTCCACTAAAACAAAGAACAACTCACACAGTGAATACCAGCAAGAAACGGGAGAGGAAATAAAAAAAAAAGCCCAACAAAACAATAGCAAGCGGGTGGTTGAAATCAGTCAGGTTCACAGTACAGTACACACTGCTACTACTCCATGACATGGAAGCTCTTCATCTAAATCTTTCTAACAAAAACATGCAGATTCCCATAGGCCTCTTTAATACTAAATAATTACACAACATTTCTCCATCGGTATTGCAGCTCCAATTAGCAGCACTGGTGAGCTTCAACAGAATTTCAAGTGTGGATAAGGAAGAAGTATTTCCCTTTAAGCACTGGGTCCTTTTTTAACCAGTCTATGGTTGGGATCTGACCAGCACAGCTGAACTTTTGGAGTAACCGCAGGGAATGTTTTTTTAAAGACTCCAGCAGAAATAAAGAATACAATCTTCCAAGCTGGAAATGATCTGGATACCTGATGTTAAAGAAAGAACAATGAGGAAAATGATGTCTTTTCCCTGCCTCCCTCAATCACAAAGAAATAAAAATAGACACAAATGTTTCTTCTTTTTTGACAAGTCTTTTTATTTATTTATTTATTTATCTATTTATTTATTTATATCTTCATCCAATCCAAGAAAGCAGCTGCAGCTGCAATTGTTTACCTTGTTGGTACCCAAGTGGTTTATTTTTGTGAATGAGCAGATAAGTGCTTGCAGGAATAATTCTACTTTCCAATTGTCAAAGAAATTTGAACACTTGTCTTGCTTGATCCAAGCAGCTAGTGTTTACTTGAAACACTGTGTGGATTAAACTGAGAGAAAGAAACCAGATGAGAAAATATGGTGTAGGACATTCAACTGCAAGAAATGAAGATGGTTCTTGAGGAGGGATCACAACTTCCACACCAGGAGCTGCTTCTTAGTGTTTCTTAGTTTGCTTTAATTCAGAGTGACATCTACTCCAGATGACCAGCTCTGGCTAGATGACAGTAAGGCATTAAGTGGGCATATCCGCTCTGCAATAGATGCCCAGAAGTATCATCTAGGAAAGTCAGTACCAGAGTGGCATGTAAATGACATCCCATAAAAATACAGAAGAGAGGCAGGTTGCCTGCCTGGAAGCACATGCAGAGCCAGGGCCATCATCAGGCACCACAAGGAGCTCAGGGCAACTGCAGAAAACACTTCCTCCAGCACCAGTCAAGTGGTCAGACCATGGCCCTGGGGAAGGTGCAGCACAGAGCAGCTCCCCAGCCTGTCTCCAGGGCTGGTAATCAGAGTGAAAAAGAGCAGATGAGAGGTGCATAGACCCTTCTCTTTCAGTACAACCAGTTAAGAGAAGAAAAAAAAAAGGAACATAAAGTCTGTCAACATATGGAGAGAGGGGAATTGTGACTTTTTCTTTGAATTCACAAAGGAAGTACCCCAATTAATTAAAAACATGTATTAATTTTATAGCACTTTTATGAGTAAAATAACAAAAAATCCTAAAAGTTCCCTGGGCCTCTCCTTCTATCCATCTAGGTACCATTTGCTGTAGTTCTTTGCCAGTAATCCTTCCCCCAATAATTGTATTTGAATTTCAATGGCTCCTGCACATTAACTCATTTTCTCTCTGATGCTGCCACCTACCACCGCACTACGGCCACTTGCTCGGTGACTGAAGTGATTCTTTTTTAACAAGCTGTTGCTAAGCACTCACCTACGTAACTGGCACTAAGGGGAACCATGCTTTGGCCTTAGCAAAGAACAAGCTATTGCTAAGTCCTATGAAAACTACTGTGGAAAACTTGGCATCTTGCATAGCCCCGGCATCCCTAATAAAGCAGATCCTTTCATTTTAATTCGTCTTCCCCCTCTGCAAAACCAGGCACAATAAAACTATCTCTTTGTCAGGTGAGATCCGGGCCTCTCTGCAGCTCAAGGTGGATGCTGACTGCTGGGTGACTGAGGAGCAGGGCTGTTTTGGTTCACGGGCAGTAACTTGTGCCTGACAGTAAGGAGAGCACAGACCGTTGCAGCACCACCTGCAGCGCCGAGGTTCCTTGCAGAGCTTCTCTCAGCTTTGTTTTCAGCTGGGTGATGCCCACAGCTTGAAGCAGCAGCTGACAAACATCTCCGTTTAATTAGGAAGCCCAAAAGTCAGTCCTTGTTTCGGAGGCTGCTCCTGCCCGTAGTGACCATCAGCTGCGTTGCATCTCTCCGTGGTAAAAAGTCCGCAGTAGACGAGTGCTGGTGCTGGAGCGCCTGGAGGACGGGTTAGCCGGCTGGCACCGAAGGAAGTGCAGGTTTCACTGCGGAGCGGTGGAGTTCCTCCGCCCTCCAAGGCTCTATCCCTCGATGCCCCTAGCCCCATGCTGGCTGCAGATTTGGGATATGCTTCGGGCAGCCGCAGGGTTACGGCTGCGAAGGGTTCGGTCCGCAAAACGCTAAGCCCCCGCTGTTTTTTGCCTAATTTCGAGGGACCGCTGGGCCCCCGTGTGGGCTGGCTCGGGCGTCGCCGCCGCCCTGCCTTAGGCCTCCGGAGCGGCCCTACGGCGCTGCGCTGCTCCCACGGCCGCCCCGACGATCGGGCGGCTCCGGCCACCTCCGCGCTCAGCCTCGGCAGAACGCGGCGCTCCTCCGCCGTCCCTGCCCCCCGCGGGATGCCTGAGGATCCCGCAGCTGTCCAAGAGACGCAGTGACGGGACACTCGCGGTGTCCCGCCTCTTGCAGGACAAAAAAAAAAGGAAAAAAAGACAAAAAAAAAGGAAAAAAGACAAAACACCCAAACAACAAACCCTCCCTGATACAGAGCTATGAGCGCGGGTCTGCGGACGGGAGCCACGGTTGAATACCCTCTGCACACAGACATAACCGCAGGGTTTGTGGTGGTTTGTTCTTTTTTTTTTTTTTTTTTCAAAGCTGTGTTACTCCCGGCGTATTGCAGAACCTCAGCAAATCCAACTTGTAAGAAGGAGGACCGCAAAGGTAGGCTGGTCAGCGGCTCCCCGCGGCGGCCTCACTGGTCCGGCCGGCTCATGGGCAGTGGAGCGCCCCGGCAGCCCAGCCTGCGGCCAGAGCAGCGTGCACGGAAGGGCAGTGGAGGCGGGGTGGAGTAGGATTTAACTCTTCTTAAATGTCATACTTTAACGGGGATGGAAAATGTGAATTTTCTGTGCATTCCAGGAACAATTCCTTGGGGTAGTGACCTTTAGCACCGATTCTCTTATGAGAGGAAAGTAGTCGAGTGTTTATCTGGATGACTGAAAGCTTTCCCTGGTGGAAGTTTATGGAAGTGTTAAAAGGGGCGGATAACACGGGCTTTGGAGGAGCTTGTCCAATGATCTGGAGGGGCTTGGAGAGCAGATCTCAGCTGGCAGACATTTAAATGGGAGACAGCTCGGCGCTGCTGCAATTTGTAGTCAGGATTCGAGACTCTCTCTCTCTATGGACTCCCGGGCAGCTCCGGGCTCCCACGCCTCCCTCTCCACCGAGTGACCCGCCGGGAAGAACCCCGCAGAACCCGAGCCGCCGCCGACGAGCCGGGTCCCGCCGAGGAGCCGCCGCCGCGCAGGTGAGCCGGGACGGGACGCGCTGCGCGCACAGCGGGGGCGCAGATGGGTCCGGCAGCTGTGGAGATCGGTCAGTCTCTGTAGGAAGCAAAATTTTAAGTTCTTTATCCTACCTTCGGGGAGAGGGAAGGGGAGGAGTCGTTCACTGATTTCTAGCAAAACTCCGGGACGACTCAGTTTTGCAGGGGGTGACACCCGTCCCTCCCGTCAGCGGGAGTGAGGTGGCCCGACCCTTCTGCTGCAGTGCTGGGGGTTAGGGTGCTGTTACATCTCTTTCCCCTGACAAGCACAGGGACTGCAAAAGCCCCGTTAGCTCTGCCTCTCATCTCCGCCTACAGCATCACTCCCGACAAATTGGATTCGGCGCCCACCCGAGACACGGAAAAATCCCGGCCCGGCCTCTGTACGGAGTGGGGCGGGGGCAGATCCCCAGGTGCCAGCCCTGTCTCGTCCCGTCGAGCGGCCCTCTACGAGGTCGCTCAGCCCCCGGCTCTGCCCTGACCCGCCTTTGCAAACCTCTGCTCCTCGGAGAAGAGTCCCCCTGGTGCCCTAGGAGCTCCCGGGTGCGGGGGACCGTACCGCCCGGGAGACTCGGTGTGTGTCAGCGGGATCGGGGGCCGCGAGGGGAAGGGTCTGCACCGGCAGTGACCGTGGGCAGCGCCGTGCGTCTGTCATCGCGCGGCCTCGGGCGCCGTCGGGCGGAACGGGACGCGGCTCACCGCTGCGCTCGGCGCCTGCCGCTGCCTCCTGGCCCTGCCCTCCCACCTGACTCGGAGCCAAGGGCTTTTTGTCGCCCGACGGTTCTATGTATCTGTCGACCACCGCTCCCCTTCCCTGCCCTGACAGGCCTCTCAGCCAGGCCGGAGTGACCGGAGCCCTCCCCGCAGCGCGTCGGGCCCCTGCGGCCCCGCGGACGGGCCGCTCTCCCCTCGGCCCCGGGCCAGTGGCGCGACTTGGAGCAGGGCTTTTCCCTCCCGGAGAAGGCTTCTTACTTGCCCCGTCCTTTCCACTGCGACCCCCGGGGGGTCAGCAGTCACCTTAGGGAGTTCGTTCTCCGTGGGGTAAACCTAGACGGCGGCCCGGCGGGAGAGCCGGGCGGTGTGTTCCCAGCCACCGTGAGGAGCGTCCGCGCCCGCGGGGTATCGGGCCGAGCCGCTCCCGGACAAGCCAAGCCAATCAAGCCTGCGGCCTCTCCCATCTGAAGGCCGCCGACGGTCCCTGCGCCGCAGCCAGGCTGTGCTCAGTCACAGCTGCGTCTTACCTCGTCGGCTTGGGCGGTGCGGCGGGGCTGTCCTGCCCAAGCCGGGGCCGTTCTGTCCAACACGGGGAGCGCCGCGGCGGCAGTGGGCTGGGAGGGTGTGCCGTCCCCGCGTCCCGGCGGGCTGGGAAGGTGCGCGGCCCCCGGCCCGCTGTTCTGAGCCGCAGCATCCCTCTCCGGCCATCAGCTGCGGCCTCGCTCCTGGTGTCCAGCTTGTGGCTCCTTTCGGTGACAGGATCGCAAGCGAAGCCCGTTTCGGTCATCAGGGCTGAGATCCAGCGTTGGGAAAACTTCCTTTTGCATAGACAGAGGTTCTGAAACACCAATGTGCGTTTGGCTCTCCCTGCTGCTGACGGGACATGGGGTTTGGTCATCCGTTTTGTGAGCGGAGACTTTCGGGTGCAGCGCCAGTTGGGCCCCCAACCCCAGCTGCCCCTGAGCCCAGCTCGGTGAGCCGGGAGCTGGAGAAGCGCTCTGCTCCTGCCCCACTCTCGCTGACCCGACAAGCCCCACAGTAACCAAGCAGCGTGCGGTGAGGCTGTATGTAAAGTATAAAGGGCACTGATGCCCGTAGCTCTCTGCTTCTATTTAGCATCTAGTGCCAAGCTGTCCTAAACCATTTTCTTTTTCTCTCGCCAACGCCACCCAGAAATGCGTAGCCTCTGCTGAATGCTCTCTCCTTTTCAGCACGCATGGCTGTGCACGGGAGCAAAGCTATTCCGGTCGTTTTAGGGCTCCGTGAGCAAATCTGTCAGAAGGGAGTTTTGTGCTGGGAAATGGAGCTGTCGGGCTGCGTGGACGTCTTCAAGGCAAGGCTAATTCGGGTTTGGTGCCAGCCATGCCCACCATGATCTTCAGCTTCCCTGGAGTCCTTTAGGACGTCCTGCAGAAAAATGCTCTCTTAAAGGGGGAATTCTCAAAGTTTCAAGGGTTTTTTTTGTTTATTTTGGTTTCTTTGTTTTTAAATTGCTGCCTATGCTCATTACATGTCTCAAAAAGGCCCATCTCTATGATCCTCAAGAAGAAATTATCTGAAATGTAAATGTATCCAAATTCTACCAAACTGTCTTAAAAAAAAATTGCAGTTCTCTGGGAACTGCAGTTGCCATGCCTTTTTTAATATTTAAAAATATAGATCTATGAACTATAAAAACATTACATAAGACTATTTCTGTAATTCATATGTAATAAGTGAGCCATAAAATTATTCTGATCCTTTGGGACATAAACCACTTCAATTTTCTAAGTAGTCAAAGGGATTGTGTTTTTCCGCTTTCTTTGGCTAGTATTTGAAGCCTGCCAAATACATTTTTCTTTTAGGTCTTCATCAGATTATCTTTCATGTTTTCTGTGAAGCACAGGAGCCCATGGCTTGTCATGATATTATCCTAGCAAATATGGTTCACAGATGAAATTATAGGCCTGCTGAGGTCTGTGAGAATTTTGCTGTATATTTCAACAGAACCAGGTTTCCATCCAGTTGTTTTAAACAAGTTGCTTTGTGCTAAAAATTTCAGTAGTGACTTTCTGACTCTGCCTGGGAACTCATAGGGAAATTCTGTCTATGAACTGACATGTGGAGGTCCTTAATTTGCAGCAGAAAATGTATAAATTAAAAATTACATCTTATTTGTATGAAATAATAAACCTGAAAGCATATACATATCAATGGTTGCTAATATTGATCCACAAATTTCTTAATCTGTTTTAGATGATGAGATCTCAGCTCTAGATAATCCCCATATGAAGCGATATCAATGTTAGAGCACAATTCTTCTCCTATTTGAAGTCAGAAATAAAATTTCTTTTGGCTTTGTGATTAAGACTTTACAGATGATGAAAAGTGGAACTCAGCAGTAAAATATGGAAGAATAGATTTTTTGATTATTGAGTTACTATTAAAAATAAATATTAATTCTATACTGAATGAAATAAGTGGGAATTGACCATGTTGGTTGTGGTCATCTGTTTGTTCAAAGGATTCTTAAATGAATTGTCAAAAGGATTTCTGGTTATGCCAGTGTAACATCCAGTACAGTGTCAAGTAATAAAAATTTTGCAGAAATTTGGAATATAAGCTTTTGCAGCCTGATTCTCACAGCTTCTACCGAAGCTCTAGGGCTATCACTTCTGCAGAATTATGACAGTAGTGAGGAGAAAAAACATTTACTTCAGAGAGATTTCTCTTCAGTAAAATGCCATGTATGGTGACGTTGATTTTAGTTGCTTCTACTATCCTCTTCTGTGTTCCTTTTTTTTTTTAAGTAATAAAAAGACCTTGTTAAAGAAACATTCACAACTTCTAACTCATAGATAGATGAACCACTTCACTTCCTAATGTAAGCAAAGGTGTCATCTTCTCTCATAAGCAAATGCATTGCCCTGGGACCAAAGGTGCCTGCACTGCATTTTGACTGCTTTCCTTCCTGAGGCATACCCCCTCATGTTCCTTTGTATTTTACATTTAAAACCCTATCCCTTAATCTTTTAATAAATGTTTAATAACTTATTATTAGAAAAGGATCCTGCTTGAACTGCGGTGGGGATCTTGAAGTTCACACAGCCTCTTCTGTGTTTAATCTGTATTTATCCCTAAATGACTGGATTAATTTTACTTTTAGAAGTGTTTTTTGGAAGTGACCATAACAAATGTTTCTGCTGAGTGGCTAATTTTCATTTGAATCACAACTTCTTTCATGAGAATGTAATGTAGCTTCCTTTAAGGCTGGAAACCAACTCAGAGAAAAATTACTTTCACACCCCCCCCCCGTTTAGGATTACATTGAAACACATGCTTGCATTTCCTTAGGGTTAAGTACGTGGTTAATAAAGATGCATGAATCTGGGATACAGACCTTTCAATAGTGAATATTATAATGAAATTTCCTCCAAATTCCCATCCTGAAGTACACTTCATTTTCATATGACTAGACCTTACTTGTGTCATCAATTGCACATCTATGGGGAAAAAAAGGTGAAGCATTGTGCAGGTCATCAGTTTTAAAAGTAAAAGTAGTCCAGGAATATGCATGCTCATGGAACCTCAACTAAGTTGTGGAACACTAAACAAACACCTGAATTTTTCTGGCACTGCTTATAAACTAGCAATTTATTTTCATTTGCATGCAATTACTTTTTTTTTTCCTTTTATGACTCTGATACCATGTTGAACAAATAAGTGCATATTAAAATACTGTATAATAGAGCATGGGTATACAGTCACCAGAGAAGTAGGAACAGTTTTGAAAGGAATCATTCTGGTCTCCTGAGAAAATAAGCACTGGTTTATAACCCTTTTTAAAAAATATTTTTAAAACAAAATTAAAATTAAAAAGAAACGTGTTTAAATAACATTCAGGCTGCAATAGAAATGAGGAAAAAGCAGCAAATGTGAAGTCTGGGCTGACATTTGTGAAGTCTGGTTATTAAAATTGTGTGTTCCGTATCATATTTCATTTACATATTAAAAGCAACCCTTCCAAATTGTCTGTTGGAGTCAGCAATAGTGTCATTCTTGCACCCCTTGCTTGAAGCCTGACAAACATAGGACATGCTGGTGCATAAATATAAATGAATAAAATGAATGCATATATTTATGATATATATTATGAGCTCTAGGGGCTCTAAAAATCTGTAGACAAAGACTTAAAAGCATCTTCCTGAGTATAATGGAACACCCTTATGATACATTTCCACGTCAGAAATTCCTTTCCCAATCCATTTGATGAGAAATGCTTTTTGAACAGCATAACATTTATTTTCTCCATGTGACTGGAAAGACCTAGTAACTGAGAAATTAGCAGTTATCTTTTATAGCAAATGGTAGTGACCCTGAGCCTCTGCTGAGTCTCTAGGTGGCCCTCACAGCATTGGCATTTGGCTGCTTTCCTACCTAGTTGTGTGGTCTCAGGCAGAGCGGATAAAGCCGTCCAGGACAGTGCCCTTGGTTTTGTATGTTTCTTGGGTAGTAACACAAGCAGGACTCTTCAGCTGAAAAACTAAATTTTTCCATACTGATAAAATGAATCTAATAAGGGATACAACTGCAGCATTCCAAGCAGGTAGAAGACACTGACTTCCTCAGGGTTTTTTTCACAGTCCTTCGCCTTTTTAATGCCTGTGCTCCTTTACAGTTTTAGAGTTTTACAGGTTGGGGTTTTTTTGTAAGTAGTTGCTCATTTCTAGTGGCTTCTTCCAAGCTCCCATGGGGAGGGTCCCTCGGAGATTCCCTCATCTGTCTATCTTGCTACCATATCCCTGGCTTTCAGAAGAACTCAGAGACCACAATACATTTCGAAGGGGGAAGTGTAACAGCTGATGAGTTTCTCCTGGGCTGGTTGCTGTCTTGAGCTGACTGAAAAGCCTAAAGAACTCAGAGCTTTGGGAAGAGGAGAAAAAGTGGAATAAGGGAGGCAAAAAAGGTTGTTGCTATGCTATTAATCAGGTTGGAGCAGGCATGCAGCTTTGCAGGACCTGATCATCTCCACTTAACAGCACTTCTTGAAGTGGTCTTTCTATTGTGTGCACAAATTCTATGATATTTAAGCTCATATATGAAATTCTGTCATCCTCCTATGTCCTTTCAATATCATCCTGCATATAATGAATAAAACTCAGAGGTCTGAAAAATTCTTAACGCTTGGATTGCATCTGTATTACTTCTGTCAAGGATTCAGGGTAATGTGCGAGAAGGTGTAGTTTGAAATTATTGATGCATCTGTTTTAACCTATACCTAAATATTCTTTCATTTTAGTTGCCTCACTTATTGCATATCTCAGCTTAAGCATTATTACACTCAGGTGCATTGGTCCCCTTTAGAGGTGCAGAGTGACAGAGCTTGGGGTGGTGTAATTCAGGCAACATGTGGATACAGCATACACGTTACATACTAGATGTATATTATGCAAGAAGCTGTACAAAGCGACTCCAACTAAGGAACACATAGCTAGACTAGATCTGCTGAGTCAAAAACTTTAGTCCTCTGGTATAGTAGATAGCTGTGTCATAATAATAAATCCTTGTGTAATGTAAAATTTATTCTTCCACCATTATAAGTCAGGAGCAATCTTCCTAATGTCAGTGAGCTATAAGAAGGGAATGAGAACTAGGGTAATATACATGGGGAAAAGATCTGGAAAAAGATGGAGGGTACACAAAATAAAATTATGTTTGGTCTTACTTTAGCCTCTGACTTTCAATCACTATTTGAAAGCTTTTATCACTTGGTAATTTGGAAACATCTGTCCAGCTGGTAGAGTCTGAATGCTTATCTTTTTACAAGTGTGTGTGTGTACATACAGTTCTTTTATGGAACTGAAAATTTACTGCATATCTGGCTTCTGTTGATATCTGAAATCCACAACTGTGCTTTATTTCCTCAACTTCCTTCATACAGGATGGTCCGCACACTGTATGCCATCGGTGCCTTGTTTCTTTTGATGGGATTTCTGCTTCCAACAGTGGAAGGGAGAAAGAGGAATCGTGGATCTCAAGGTGCTATCCCTCCTCCTGACAAAGATCAGCCCAATGATTCAGAGCAAATGCAGACACAGCAGCAGTCAGGCTCCAGGCATCGAGAACGAGGAAAAGGCACCTCGATGCCTGCTGAAGAGGTGCTGGAATCCAGTCAGGAGGCTTTGCACATCACTGAGCGCAAATACCTAAAGCGAGATTGGTGTAAAACTCAACCTCTCAAACAAACTATCCATGAAGAAGGCTGCAACAGTCGTACCATTATCAACAGGTTCTGCTATGGCCAGTGCAATTCCTTCTACATTCCCAGGCATGTCCGTAAAGAAGAAGGCTCCTTCCAGTCTTGTTCCTTCTGTAAGCCCAAGAAATTCACGACCATGACTGTTACACTGAATTGCCCTGAGCTTCAGCCCCCGAGAAAGAAGAAAAGAATCACCCGAGTTAAGGAATGCCGGTGTATATCTATTGACCTGGACTAAACTGAGACAAAAGTAGCAATTGCACTCTAACTGTACCCAATCATTGCCAGCGTGAGAGTGAGTGGCATGAACTAGCATACCTTCAAGGCTGGACAAAACTGAAAGGGACCTAGTGAATCACCTAAAACCAGCAAAAACCCTACAAAAAGAAAGAAAAAAAATTGATGTAAAGGAAGGGCATGCATGTGTGTGTGTGTAAGGGAGAAAATGGATATGTATAAGCAAATATCTCAATGTTCACTGCAAAAAAAAAAATTAACAGGGGTATGAAGTATTGAAAAAACGCTATTTACTCACAATTATGAATTAGGGTTCCTAGTGTATATCCACATTTTTGTGGCTTGCTGGAAAAGTGGAGCTGTGGGTTTTGTGAATGTTCACCTTTTGTGCTATTTGCTTTTACTGTATTACATGAAACATCAAAGTGAGAGGACAATACATTTGAAAGCATGAATCTATTCTTATATACAAAATAGACAAAATGCAGTTTAAAGTGTAGCAAAGCCATCACTGAAAATAGCAGCCATGTCAAGAGTTTGTAACATGCTTCTTCAGAAAAATAGCTGTAATCCAAAAGCCATGTCTGGGGAACAATGGGGGGATGTGGTAGTGTTGAAAAGTCACTATAGGTGGATGGAAAACAGAGCTACATCAACTTAGAAAGAAAAAGGCCAAAGCAAGTAGACAGGGAGAGTACAAAAGGGAGTAGAAAAAGGAAAGCTACACAAATAGGAAGACACAGAGGAAGAGATATTGTCTTCTGTTTATGTTTTGCTTTAATTTATATACCTAGTCGTATATTACATAAATTAAAAAGAAACTATATACAAGGCTATAAATATACTTCTGAATTCTAATGGTTCTCTAAACCAATCAAACCCCACTCTTATGCTACTAGATCCATTTGATGTCTTGTATTTCTCATATCAGTTATTCTTCATATCTACATATATATGTATATGCAGTATCTTTTAGTCGGTGATATCTATACATACATGCAATCAGTATGCATACTTCAGTGTGTGTATCCAAACTCCTTCTCTTTTTCACACACAGACATAAAAATACATAACTACAGCACAAAAATCTTGCTAACCCAGATCAAGTACAGAATGACAGTAATTTAGTACATAAAGAGCAAAGCAAAAATTAAAACAAGCATCATGTGACTTCAAATGCAATAACCACACAAGAGACAAAAGACACGACATTCATGACTAGTAAACATTGCATTGTTATTGTTATTTTAGCTTTGCCACAGGCATGCAGTTTGTTGAAACAGAGATGCAGAACTTTGCCAGCAATAATCTTCTTTTTATATCTTTTACCACAGACTTGCATTTAAACTGGTTTTGGAGTAAGTACAGAAAATTTCCTGAAAATTGAGGGCTAACTGACCCTCTCATTTGGGGGAAAAAAAACATAAAAGGGGGATGCACTGCTTCTGACAGCTCGATGACTCTCACCTGTGAGGTTATCCTGCCTTTTCTTTCCTTCAGGATTAGAAGCTTAAACTTGATCAGGGGGTTTTGTAAGAGCACAGAAGGCCCTGCAAAAGAAGTTGGTTTAGCGGGGTGTGTTCTGCGCCATTGGACCAGAGAGGCAGCCCTTCCACGCATGTAGCCCTTGCTTTCCCAGGTGCTCAATGGGAAGCCTGGCAGTTGTCTCCCTGGCAGCATCTCACAGCACATGGTGTGCAGACTGCTCCTGCTGTCCTGGGTGCTGCCTTTGCAAGGGCACTTTCAGGCCAGGTGCTGAAGAGCTTACAGGGTGCTGCAACCTCCCTGCCTGTGCTGTGCTTGTACCTGCAGAGCCTTGGCAGCTGATCCTGTCCAGTGGGTGCCGAACTAAAGGAGTGTTCCTGTGCGAGAGTCAGTACCGGGCCTGAAAGCAACCCTGACCTCACTGATATGAGTGATATGGGAGTTAGGTCCACACTTAATATATGAAGAGTCACTGATAGTTCAGAACTAGGTTTCCCCACCCAGCAGCAATATTTTCCAGTATCCACTATCTGCATAACTGTTCTCTCTCACACCAGATGCCTCTCTCAGCCACAAGGTGATTATTTTGACACCATTTCTTGCCATTGAATGCTGAGGAAGACAATTCCACCCTTAGTAACATGTCCAAAGGGAAAAATACACAATGAGTGGCAAGTCACAGATTCGTCCCGTGTGGACTCATTGTATTAGTTGTCCCACCTGTTATACAGTGCATCAGGCATTTATTGGTGATATCCTGCATCTCTACAACTAATCTATTTTTACTTTAAAATCCACTGCTGTGTAGTCTGCGTTGTAAGACGAAGAGATTGCAACTCACTGATTGATATTATAAAAATGCATTTCATTCGTTGTACTCTCACTCAGCAGGTTTGACACATTTCTTCATGGATTTTAGAATCCAATTTTAAAATCTGGAATTACAGGAGGTAGATTTCCACTGTGTGGAATGTGAATAGTTAAACAGAAAGATACAGATATTTAATGTTATTATTAATACAAATTCTCTTTCACTGATAATAGGCAGGGATTGTTTTCCTTTAAATTACTTGTTTGATTTTTATTTTTTTTCAGAGGAAAGGGCCAACCTCAGTCATGACTGAAAGTTTTGGACTAGCTTAGGTTTCTGTCCAGGAAATGGGAACACCTTAAGAATGAATTTTTTCTTCATGTAAATTTGACAGCAGAATTCCCATTGTCTTTGACAGGGATGGCTATGTCCCTTTACTCTTAGCTGTTAAGCAAAGCTTCAAACATTATTGTCTCCTTTATTTAAGATTAGGCTAGCATTCTGAAGGAAAATTGATAAAAGTATTCAAAATCCTTATGCTCCAAAACCGCCTGTGCATAGATCGTGACGGAACTCCCCTTGAGGCAGATCCTTCCCTCCCCCGTGTAAATTTTATACAAAGAACTTTTATGAATTGCTAGTTATTGCCTGAGAGTAAGAAAGTTCTGCTAACTTACAATTACACTAGATATTTAATATCAACCACAATATGTATTTAAATGTCTGCTTTATTCTAAAAACAATGGACTATATAACCTAAGGCTGGAGTATTTTCATGCTCAGTCTCACAAAGCAAAACTTGGTTTAAAATGAAGTTTTAATTATTTTGTAACTGAATAGAATTGGAGTTTTTTTTCCCAGCATTTTGTACGTCATTTTAACTACTAGTAACAAATAAATAAAATATCTTCTCCAGCCTGTGTCTATTGTTGTTTGTTGGTTTTTTTTTCTTTCTTCCTTAAGTTTCCAGCTCTTTCTGGATATGTTGTACTTTACTCTGACTTCTGTGGTTTCTTCTAATTATAAAGGGGTTTACATTATGACAGCAAGACACAGAGACAAGCAATGGCATCATCATTCAACATGGCTACTTCAATAAGGTTTTTAAATGAGATCTGTCACTTCCCCCTCACCCTTCCACAATTTATAGAAGGAAAATCTCAATCTTAACTCACACTTTCCCCCTTGTAAACCATATAGTGACAGTTCAAAACATAAATCAGTCTTGAATTGTTGGAGTGTTAGTTGGAATCGGCATGCCTGCCTTACACCATATCTCAGTCTAGCTAGCAGTTTAGTCCTACTTTTACGAAAAAGAGTAAGGAACACCTTTACAATACAGCACATTACAAGTTGCAAATAGGGACAGAGGAGATGAAAAACAATTATAAAAGAGAACAGGGAGATTTGCCCCTGCTGGCAGCATTGGCACAAGGCCAGGGTTGAGGAAGGACTGCAACTAGAGAGAACAGGTTTCTTCAAACTTTCTATATCACCAGTGGGAAACAGGCAGTAGTGATATAAATTTTAACTCTCCAACCTGCCACCTTGTCAGACCTGTGATGGACTGGGTTCAGGCAGGGCAGAGCTCCATGCAGTGCTGCCATCTCCAGTAGTGGTGGCATTGGCTGCCCTTGTGATGCCAGCTGCTTTGCTAGGGACTGCCATCCTGTTGAACTAGGCTGAGAACCTCCTCTGATTTCATGTGAACCTCTGAGCAGTGATACAGGCCTAGTAATTTTCAGACTTACGCTTTTTAGTTCAAAGAAATGAGTGACATAGTCAGATACACAGTTATATAGGGGAACAACATGCAGTGTTTTCCTGTGACACACAGAGCGACAACTAGAGAAAAAAGGTCAGATGTCCCATTTCCAGCTCTGAAAAGCTGGGTGCTGGTAAGATCCAGTGTGTTCTTCCCTGACACAAGAATGGAGCTGAACAGTCCAGTAGTACTGGTTGTTTGGGGACTTCTAAAGGTTTTTTAGTTTAGTCTTCCTTGTCTTCTAGTATTTTTGTGCTTGTAAAACTTACTGAAAAGATAATAACATTAGCTAATAATCATTATTTTTAGAAGGTGATTGACTTTTTCTGGTCTGAGATATAGGCACAGCTGTGTAGAATGTTTCCTTGAAAAGATGTGCATATATATCTTTATTTGAATATTTTAAACAGAGAAAAATCTTGTGGCCTTACCTTTGTAGTACTCTGTAGTACCATGGTCTTATTATTTACATGCTAACAAGCTCAGACATTCATTATAATTCATATTTGTCCTACATACCAGCTTTGAATTAATGATACTTTCACCGTGAAGTCCCATGGGCTTTACAGATAATTACGCTGATCCAAAGAAGATAACAGAGAGAGAATTCACACACCTTAATCTGCTTCCAGGGATGCAGATAGAAATAAGACTATTCTTCTCTCTCTCCCCAGTGAGATAGGCTAGATTTCTGTGTGTGCTGTCACCCATGTGCCGCAGGGTTGATTCACACATGCGTTATAGGACTGAGGCATCAGGAGAATGTTAGATTTGCTAAGCACGTGTGCACATCTGAGCAGCAGATGCACACAGTAGGTATAGTGTGGCCTGGATGGGTCAGTGGGACAGACAGCATTGTGGCTCTGCTCCAGCTGCCTGTCAGCAGTGGTGCCTGGCTGAGAAGAGGGACATTGCATTTGCAAAAACAATGTGGTAACTTCACCTTGTAATTTACCTTCTTCTGAGTAGAGGAAAAAAAATAAAAAAATGAGAGCAATTACAACTGCGCCCTTGGGGACTGATGTTCCTTTTCCAGCGTACAGGAATAAACAGAGTTTTTAGTTCCAAAAGGTTT